CTTGACAGCTGACAGCCTGGGAGCTGAGTGTTAGGACAGATAAGAGTTTGCTGTGACATGTGTGGAATTCCCCCCGACCATTTGCTGTGACACGTGATTGCTGTGACATACGATTAAGAGTTTGAAGTGAGGTAATGGAGAGTGTTGAGGAGTTAACTTAGATAGAACATATGGATGTATTAGATTAGAGATGATTTAAGGTATAAAAGGAGAAGACTACAGACAGATGTCGTCGCTTGACGACCCCGTCAAGATGACCTGCTGAAGCTCTGCCCGAGACGCAGACACTCTGTTCCAGATCCTGACTGCTGAGCCGAGGATCCTGGTTTCCTAGACGAGAGAACGAAACCAACCCGAGACCGTCATTGACATCGAAGTCGCGGCTCGACCCTGCGAAGCCGAGGACCAGACTACACTCACCAGGTCGTATGCCCTCACCTACAGCATGCTAGGACTTATGATTTGTCTAGAGATATTATGGGCTGGCATTATTTCTATATTGCGTTGGCGATTGTAGTTGTATCCTTTGTGTGGGCTTGTTTCTGTATTATTAATGAAAGTAAAAGCATTTATGAAAACGAAACCGAATTGACAATCATTGATGCGCTGACCTGTGATCCCGAAACGCAAATCGGTGCTCGCGACATCAATTCCCTTTAAAATTAAGACATATGTAAATAAATGTATTCTTCCATATATAACTACTTCCCAAACCACAAAGACCCTACCTACTTCCTGCTAATTTCTGTGGATACAATATCATTTACCTATTTTATCCAATATACAAAAATCCATGTTTTTATCAGCAGTTAAAACACACAGAGAACTTTAAAGGTTCTCAAATGACTTTGAAACAAGTCACCTAAAGAAAAATCACCAATATCTAAAACCTACTGGGATATGTGCTGCCAGAAAGCACCCAAAATCTTAAAAATTTCCTTATCCCAAGAAGATTATTTACAGACTGAAATTCAAACTCTACATTGCCATCAATATGATTACATAAGAGTATATACAGAAGCCCTAGGAAAGATGTAATATTTCATTACATAATCTTTGTGATCAAGAAAATACTGCTTGCCTTCAAATAAAGACATGGCAGATAAATAAATATGCTTAAAGATGATCATCTTCACAAATACACAGAGTATATGCACAAGGAACGAAAGGGAAACATACTTGAGGTTTAAAATGACTCCAGAAGTGCTTGCACAAAGTTGCTAAAAGCAAGGCCAATACTCCTCTCTTGGGGTTTAGTTATAAAAATATGGAGACTTGCTCCAGAAGGATTTCATCAGGGTGAATTGAGGATGCACAGAGCCATTAGAGGGGTCAGCAGGAGTAACTGTGGCCTACTGATGACAGCAACCACCCCACCAAATAATCAAGAAACATTTCAAAATAACCATATGATACTGGTCAAAACCAATGTAACTGGTGCAAGTTGGCTGTGTCGGCCCAGCCGTCACAACACGAACGTACCTGAATTGGGGAGTGAGGATTGAGAAAGGAAAGAACACTCACACCTGAGTGGAGACCAAGAGAAGTCTGGTTTATTTCTACAGAAACAGCTTTCCTTAAAGGCACATTAACAGAAAGCATCAAGCAATCATCTCCATCATTTCTTATGCAAAAACAGGAATTCCTGATTTCTACAGATACCAAACCTTTGGCTATCTCTTTGAGTTCCTCCCGCCTCAAGGTAACAGATAAGCTTAACAAACAGAGTCCTTGAAAGGTAACAAATGTCATATAGCCTTTATCAATGCCTTCATTGTAAAGGAAGAAGTTTCCTTTCAAGTGTCAAATGCCAGAGGGCCATGATGGGCTCCCACAGTTGGCAGATTCAATTCTAACAGGCTTGGGAGCCAGGATAAAGCTGTGGTTGGTTTGTTGTACAAACCCACTTTGTCGACACAAATTACATTTATCTGACCTCCGCTTTTCTTCCAAATCCATTTTTACACTGAGTTAAGTAAGTACGCTATCTGTCCAATCCTGTTTCCATAAATGCCTTCTCTCTTCCCTCCTGTCATCGACGGTCCTCCCAAGTCCCTGGAGAGCTTCATTAATGTCAGCTCAAACAAGTAACTTCTCAGCGCAGCCCCGCCATGTCCCCACTTTCCTTCATCTTCTCTGAACTCAGTATGTCCCACCACACAAATACAGTTACAAAAGAAAGTAAACACAGCCAAAATAAACATTCTAGTTTTTAAATAGAGGATTTATCCTAGAGGACTGTTCACTGAAATCAGACCTAGAAAGTCTTTGTGACCATGGCTCTAAAAAGAACCTATGTTAAAAAAGGCCATCTATTAAAATGGGCTAGTGCTGATATTTAAAATTCTACAATGACATTAAAAAAAGATACACATTAAACTAATAAGCAGTCTTCGACATTTATCATAAACCCTCTATAACATATTGCACATGACAATCTTTTCCTTTTGTCCATAAGGGGAGCATAAAAAAGAAAAGAAAACAAAAAAAGTGTCTATCGGACGGCAGGTGAAGTCTAAATGGAACACACAGCACCCGCAGTCCAAGCAGTGCCACAACTGTACGGGGCTGGGCACTGAAGGCCACACCAGGAAGAGCAAAACTCCTCAATCACAAATTCCTGAGATAAGCGGGGACTGGCCGGGCATGTACACCACAGGTGGGGAGCCCACGCTACTGGAAGGGCTTCGGAAATGTGTTTCAAAGGAGCTTGGTGTGATTCCAATCACAGCATCGTTCTGAGGCACTTCGCCTTTCAAAAAGTCATCATCTTCATCCTCTATCACCTCCTAGTATACAAAATCCAGATTACCAATAAGACCACAGACAATGGTTTGAAAGCTTTCAAGAATTCCTTTCTTGCTAGGCACAGTGGTATGCACTCGAATTCCAACTACTTGGGGAGGCTGAGGCAGGAGGATTATTTGAGGAGTTTACCACCAGCCTGGACAACACAACAGACCTCATCTCAAAACCAAAAAATCGTTCCCACAGGAATGGGCTAGTTGTTTTTTGTTTTTTGAAACAGGGTCTCACTATGTAGTTCAAGCTGGCCCTGAACTCACTATGCTCGAGACTGTTCTAGAACTTGCGGCAATCCTCCTGTCTCAGCCTCCTGAACGCTGGGATTATAGGCATGTGCCACCACGCCTGGCAGGAATGTGCTATTTCTATAAAGATGAAGGAAGATAAAATATCTTAATTTCAAAAATTTCCTTTGATACTTAGTTCGTTATTACAAATTACCCAAATAATTGCTCACCACACCTTAAATTATTTTGTTTAAAGATTGATTTTCAAACATTTTAATTTCTATGAGGGCACATAACATAACATAGCATTCTTGCTCAGTGTTATAGCCTTTGTATCTAACCAGACTGAATGCATGATCCCTGAGATACAAGATATAAAGACAAAAACAAATTAAGCTTCCCAAAGATTACTTATGAAGCAAAGGAGACAGGGCAGGGGAAGGGGCAGCTCAGCGGTAGAGCACTGCAGCATACACAAGGCCCTGGCTTCCATCCTAGCACCAAAACAACAACAAAAAGAACATTAAGTCGGGTCTGGGCTTGTGCAAAGGTAAAATGAACACAGCACTAATAAAGCGTAACACTGCGACTGATCACATGACTGTGGCCTGTCTCCACAAGACTCTAAGGGGGCCCAGATTCATACACTTCCTTTTTATTTATTTATTTTTTTGTCCTGGGGATTGAACTCGGGACCTTGCGCTTGTGAGGCAGGTGGCAGCACCACTGAGCTAAATACCCAGGCCCATACATTTACCTTTTTAACAGGCTTCTTAAGCTCCTGAAGCTCTTCAGCACTCATGTCCTCCCACGTCTGGTAAATGGGATCGATGAATACCTTTGACCTGTCAAACAGGGGTCAAGTTTCGGTCAGGCTGAACATTTCATCACAATCACATGTTATGCTTTTGTCTCACAAGATCCATTTTCCAATAATATCAAGAAAAGATTCTACGTAAGTACTGTAACTGATGTGGCTCTTTTTTTGTTGACTCCATTCACACCTACACGAGATTTCAAATGGCTATTGTCTCCCATATTTCAAGTGGAACTGTTTCCAACTACAAAGGGTGATCTAAACATAAACTGCATGTTAAAAAAATTTTTAAAAGGTTTTTTCCCCAGTACTAGGAATCGAACTCAGGACCTTGCGCTGGTAGGATTCAAAGACACTCTAAATCTCAAATTTAGCAAAAGCAAGTTTCTCTTACAGTTAGCCTCCCTGCTGCCAGGGTCCAGTGTTTGGAAGCACCTACCTCTTAAGAACACAGGGATCAAAGGGGAAGAAGGTATCGAGTGGGTTTGTGCAGGTCTGTACTGAGTCCCCTCCGGCTGTGTTTCTAATAACTGGCAGCATCTGCCGATTGTTCCTCTCAATGATAGTGTAGCAGAAGACTAGCTGGTATTTACTGCAGAACACCAAGACCAACACAGAGACAATTAACAGGCTGGGATCATTCTGGTATGGATGCAACATGTGTGACAACTGTGATGCCCACAGAACTACTGCAGAACACAGTAAGTACCAAAAAATAACAAAACAACACCTTTATAGCAGTTTCCTTAGCCTATTATAGGATTTCAAATAAAGAAAATGTGGCCATCATCACTTAGAATATGAAAGTGGGCTTAGATTAATAGGTATTATGAAAGCCTAACCTGTCTACAAAGCAAAATTCTTAGTTTACACAGATAGGCGGTTTATTTCTGTTTGCAGAAGCACCGCGACACTGGTGAAGAGGGTTGTCGGCGGCTGCTGAGGGGTAGTGGTTGTTGATGGGAAGCCCGGCTGCTGCTCAAGAAAAACCTCCTTTCTCACAGGAGGTCACTGCTGCAACTGTGAGCAATGCACAGCCCGGGGTGGCCTCTCTCCTGGTGGACGAGTAAACCAGCAAAACCACACATCTGGTGCAAGGGAAGCCCTCAATCTCCTACAGCCCAGCAACTGCGCTTCTGGGTGTGCGATGAGGAGTATGGACACGTACTCCCAGACATACGGAGAACGTGCCCGAGCTGTTGCTCCCAATACTGAAAAACTGAACAACTTAAATCTCAAAATAGGCCTGATGATACAAAAAAACACAGCAGTTAACGTAAAGATAAAGCTCTATGTGTCAATTCGGGTGCAGCTCAGAACCACCAGGTGAACAAGACCGACAGCGGCAGGATGACACCCAAATCCCTACATCTGGAGCTTCACTTCCATCCCCGGCTCTCAGCGGCACAGGCTGGCCCTGAACCTCGCTCGGCCTCTGACCAGCTGGGTCACCAGACGCTGCCCTCTGCCTCATCGGAACCACTCTAGGGGCTGCGTCCTTGCGTTACCTCATCAGTCTCTACCCTTCCAGCTGCCTCCCCTATCAATGTGCATGCGTGTTTCACCCACTTGATGCCACTGCTTCTTGATTCTTTTTCTAAACCCCTTACTTTTTCTTTTTTTTGGCAGTGCTGGGGATCAAATGTAATCAAACCTAGGGCGCCACACATGCCAAGTAAACATCCTACTGATGAGCTACAACCTTCAGCCCTATCGTTTTGCAATCTCAGAAGGATACCTTCAACTAGATGACCTGCAAGTAATTGAGGTCAATAAACCATAAAAAAAGAAGTCTGAAGTGTTGAAGATTTTAAGCCACGATCCTACCAGAACATCCTATTTCAGTGCCCAAAGTGTAAGTCACTTAGTGAGTGCTATTGTAAGAACCAGACTGCATATGCGTTTTTTTTTTTTTTTTTCCTACTGGACACTGAACTGAGGACTTCATGCATGGCAGGCAAGTACTCACCCGAGCCACAGCCCAACCCAACTGCCTACATCTAATCCCAGCTCGGCAGTCTAGCTAGGTGACATTAAGCACGGAATTTAACTTCTCTGTGCTTCTGTCACCCCATTTATAAAGGGGGGAAATAGGACAACCACAGGTTGTGTGAGGATTAAATGAGCTCTATGTGAGTGCTTAGACTGTACATACAGCCTATATTTAATAGAGACCATCTATGCCACATGCAATACACACAGCAAAGGCTACTCGGCCTGAGAGCAGACAGTCCTGTGAATTGATCTACTGGTGATCACTGCCCTCATGACCATTTATTTTCATTGCTATTGTGGCACTCCGATTAGCACCTCTGGTTTACATGTTCTCAGTTTACTAGCTTTATGCACACTGCCTAGGCTTCTGTCAAATTATCCCCTTCAAATAAGTAGTAGCAATTTACAATGACACCAAAGTATAAAAACAATAGCTTGCAATGCAGTATTTCCTGGGAGGACTAAGTCATTAGTATTTTAAATTGTTTTTCTTTTTTTGGTTTTTTGAGACAGGATCTCACTATGTTAATTCAGGCTGGCCTCCAACATGGTGATCCTCCTACCTCAGCCTCCCAAGGGCTGGAATTACAGGTTTGTACAATTACACCTGGCTTTTGCTATTCTATTATTAATTCTCAACATTTAATGGAATTTTACAAGACAAACACAAACATAAATTCACTTAAGTGCCTTAACACAGCAGTGTGTCTGCCTCACACATTTTTTTGGAGGGGGGGTTTGAGACAGGGTCTCACTATGCAGTTGAGACTGACCTGGAACTCACTATGTAGCTCAGGTTGGTCTTGAACTCACAGTGATCCTCCTGCCTCAGTCTCCCGAGTGCTGGGACTACAGGTGTGTGCCACCATGCCTGGCTCATACATTTACTTTTAAATAATACCCATAAAAGAAATAACTTACTTTGTGATAGCAGCAAAGAAGTTAACCACTGATGGCAGGCATATCTTCAGAGGGTTTAGCTGGCTCATCACGATACGTTCAAAATTTAGACTCTGAAGGTACCTTAAACCTTCAATTTGAAAAAAACAAACAAACAAAAAAAAAAAACAAGGTTTTAGAAAGGTACAAATATAATTGAAAATTCTAAGATATCTTCAACAACACAAATCATCACATATTAAAAAATCGATTTAGGGCCGGGATGGTGGCACATACCTGCAATTCCAACACTTGTGTGGCTGAGACAGGAAGATCTCGAGTTTGAAGCCAGCCTGAACTACAGTGAGACCCTGTCGCCAGCAGGACAGTATGGGCCTCACCTTCATTTGTTCACTCACTCTTGCTGCATTGTACCAAAGACTGAATGCAGGGCCTCTGGACTGAGCCACATCCCCAGCCCTTATTTTATTGAGGGAAGTTCTAACTAACCTGCCCAGTTGGGGCTCAAACTTGCAATCCTCATGCTTCAGCCTCCCAGAGTGCTGGGATTTTAAGTGTGTGCTACTGTGCTTGGCTTTTTTCATTTTTAAAAAACTTTTAATAAAGGTAAGAGTAGATACATGAGGTTGACTACATTTACTTATAACTGAAACAGCTTTTCTGAACACAGTCGATTCCTTTCAAGATCCAAGTAAGCACATGTTCTCTGCAGGCTGTTAAGACTATGAAAATGTGGAATGCATACACAGCATATGCCGTGAGAGGGGGGAAACCATGAGGTCTGATTATAGCTAAAATCCTAACATGCTGCTAAACTACAGAACTACCCTGTTTTATATTGCATGTCTTAGATTACGAGTGAAGAAGTTCAGCAATGTTTTCAGGTGTGATCAGCTTGTATTTCTTTTTTAGACAAAACCCCAGCTTTGAAACTAATCATGATTATCTCCCAGAAGCTGGGCAGGGCTAGCATCAGCTGTGCTACCAGTGACTCAGAAGGCTGGAGCACGAGGATCTCAAGTTCAAGGACAGCCTGGGTGACATCACGAGAACCTTTCTCATACACCTGTCCTACATGGTAAAATAAGACACTTCAAGATCCTGGCATTTACGTTTACAAAGAAAAGTAGAGATCTCCCTTATCTGTGAAGCTGTATCCTCCTACTGGTTCACACAGCTTCAGTGCCTGCCTCTTTTTAGTATGCAGGGTGTAAGTAAATACACGTAACACAACCCATGAGCACTTCAGTATAGCGCTCCGGTTCTCACCCTAAGCACGGTGTCACCAGGAGGCAGGTGGCAGTGCCTGGAGGTACTTGTAGCTGTCACAGTTGAGAGGGTGTATGGGGGCTGATGCTAGGGGCATCTGGTATGTGGATGCTGCCAAACACATGGACAGCCCCCACAACGAAGGAATATTCAGCCCAAAATATCAGGAGTACCAAGGCAGAGACCTCAGCTTAGAGCACACAGCTGTAACTTACCTGATTTTTCATGAAAATATAACAACCTAATGACTTAATTACATTGTTCTTGGGATTCTCTTCATCTGAAATATACATTAACGCGTCTCATCGGGTAGGTTTGTTATAAGTAAGCCTCAGAAGTCAGCAAAATGGAAAACTGGTGAATTATCCCTCCACACTTCAGAGGAGCACAATCCTATGACCACAAGCTTTACAATCAGCCTAGCACGGCTTTTGGCTCTAATCCTGGCAATAACTACCGTGACCCCAGGCACAGCCCAACTGTGGGCTGCTCCACGGACAGGGAGAGGGTGCGGCAGAAGTGTTGTGCAGGGTACCAACACAGCACAAGCACTCAGTCTCATCTCTAGAGATGGCTTCACTTTCACCGTTGAACAGTTAAAGAGGAGGTGTGAAGGACTTCCAGGAGCCTGTGAAATGTTTGAAATTATTTGTAGAAGTTTGAGGGCACACACAGTTTTCTGAATCCACAGTTTCCATTAAAATTTAAAAAAAAAGAAGAAGAAAAGAACTACCATTCTGAGTATGATGAGTACGTTAAGAAAACCCAGTTTGAGGCCATCAGCCCCACACACTGACCTTCTTTCAGGTTTCCACCCAAAAGCTGCTTGTGTCTAAAAACAAAGGTGTAGAACACAGCTTGGCAGGCTGAATAAAATGGGCCATGAAGAGCAACATCACAAAAAGCCTTTGCTCCTGAATCCTGGTTATTAAGGTACAGGTGCAGCCAGTTAACCAAAAGATCGAGGCACGACTTTACAGTACTGAAAAGAAGAAAAGCTCAAGTCAGCTTTACTTGTTCATGGGAAAACTCCAGGGACATAAAGACACACCACTGCCACTCATACAAACCACAGAAAGTTCATAGGCTTTACATACTGCCCACAGGTTGAGGACGAAGCTTTCCAGTGGTAGTGGTTGCACAAGATGCATGAAGCCCTGGATTTAATCCCCAACACCAGGGAAAAAATACACAAAGAAAACAAGACAAACAAAAACCTACAGTCAGAGAAGGGAAGGGAAAGGAAGATGGACTATGAAAGATAATCTTTCAATTACAGTATAGGGTGATGCAGCAGCCAGCTTCTAAACACAAATGGAAGCCCCTAGGGACATCCCAAGGGTTGGAGGACAGTTTTCCCCTAATCAACTCTAAGGGGCTTCTGGGATGGGCTCCCAGCCCTACGATATGGCCAGAGAGCCAACATCTCACAAACAAGGGTCTCGTGGGCGGCTTCCCCACTCCACATGGTATTCTGACGGAGTCCAATGGTCGACAATTTACCCAGACGGATTTAGCTGTTCCAAAAGGGTTTTTGTGTTTTTGTTTTATATTGTTTTTTGTTTTGGTTTTTTTGAGACAGGGTCTCACTATGTAGTTGAGTCTGACCTGGAACTATGTAGTCTAGGCTGGTCTCGAACTCCCAGTGATCCTTTGGCCTCAGCCTCCCGAGTGCTGGGATTACAGGCGTGTGCCACCACGCCTGGCTCCGAAAGGGTTTTTAACAGCACTTTAACACTTTGCCTAAAGTGTTCCTCACCTGAAGAAACTGCCCTTGCCCTACTTTTTTTTTTTGGTGCTGGAGTTTGATTCTAGGGACCTTATACATGCTAAGCACCTGCTGTATCACTGGGCCAGGCCACACCCTCGGTCATTCCTACTACCCCCTACCCCTTTTTTTTTGGTACCGGGGATCAAACTCAGGACCTTGCCTTGCAAGGCAGGCACTGAACTAAATTTTTTTACCACTGAGCTAAATTCCCGGCCCTGTTCCTATCACCTTTAAAAGGGCTTTTTTTCAGCTCTAGCAGATACAGTTGACTTGGAATGCATATGAAAAATGACAACGGACAAGATCAATCAAAACTCTATATAATGCTGTATTCTATCCACAAAGACAAATGTATTTCACATTCAAGTGAAATTACAAGGAATGGCTAACAAAAGCTTTGCCTGAGGTTTTACATCTAAAATGGGAGACACTTTATTCTGAAAGTGCCTACTGGAAATTTACATAGAATGGGGGGAAAGATATTTTTCACTTTAAAGACAGGCTCTCCAAAAAAGATAGATATTTCTTTGACCTGACACATGCTACCATCTTTATAAAGCATGATTAACAAGTACTTTGAAAATTAGGCTACTTACATAAGAGGAACAAATTTAGCTCTTGCCAAAAAGCTCCCAATATAATTTCCAGCAGCTTGCCTGATGATGGCAGGATTGTTTGGATCCTGTAATTTTTTCCAGAGATGTTCCAAAAATGCTTCTGCAAATCCCTATAAAGAGAATGTGTTGGCCTGATCTCTTATTAATGCTTAAGATATTCTGGCTGTCAGATCCTAAGATTTTTTTACTTCTCCAATGTGGGAAGTAACTTTTAGTATCTCAGTTACGCCACTAAATAACGAATACAGTGACTACGGTTTTTCTCCCCCATTAAATTTACTGGTACATTTAAAGCAAATGGTTTTTATTTTTAAAACATCATAAAATAATACTGAAAACTAAAGGCAGCCTAGATATCAAACAGTCCACTGGACCCTAACGCCAGCTAAGTGCTGCACATGTTGGTGCACATCTGTGCCAGCTAAGTTCGAGTCCAGGCTGAGCAAAATAGCAAGACTGCCTCAACAACGAAAAACTAATCCCGAAGGTGCAGGTTCAGCAGATCTGAGACAGGGCTTTGGAATCTGCATTTTGTAAGATGCTACAAGTGATTCCAGTCCAAACTGGAAACCAGAAGAAACCAGCCACCTTCCCTGGAATGAGAATACAGTGCCTTCTCAAACAGCAAAGTATCCTTCCTGTCTTTGTGCATAACGAAACTAACTAGCAACAACCTCAGGTTTGGGCAGGCTGAATTTAACTTTCTCACCCATGACCTAACTGTTAAAGGCAGCTGAGTTACAAAGAAAAGGCAAGATTTGTATTTTCTTCCCCTACCAAAAGAAAGCCAAAGCCTTAAATTTTAAAGTTGGGGATTAAAAAGTTTGGTTGGGGCTAGTTAGAACTCAATCCTGAGAGAAGACAAAGGAAATAAACATTCCACATGAGATTTGGGTTTGTTTTGTTTTGCGAGACAGGGTCTTGCTATGTAGTCCATACTGGACTTGAACTCACTAGAAGCCCAGACTAGTGTCAAATTCCCGTAATCCTCCTACTTCAGCCTGAGCGCTATAATTACAGGCCTGTGCCACCACCTCCAGCCCTATGAGATTTTAATATAAAACTCTGAAGCAAAGGGCACCACCTAGTGACCACAGTCATGATGACACTCTCAGAATCTCCAGCTACTGACAGGCAGCTACTGGGTTAGTGAAAAGGGAATGTCACTGCATTAAGGGTACTAAGAAAATAAGGTCAAATAAAAGAAATCCCTATGGTTTCCTTCCACTTTTTTTTTTTTTTTTTTTTTTTTTTT